CGCCTTTTTCGAGTGATTTCCAACCCAATATATTCTTATTGTCTCTATCCTCCACTGAATTCTTTTCAATTGTTACATAATTTTGCGTAAATCATAATAAATATCCTTAAGTTGCAAGTTCCATTATTGGTTGAAGAAGATTTAAATACGCATTTCTTCGCGTTCACATTACTCTTGTTTAATTCACGCATGACAAAGTGCAGAGATCTCTAGGCTTTTTCCTACGTCAGAAATTACATGAGTTTTGCTGCTTAATTTACTGTCAAATCGGTACCTCAACAACTACACTAGAAAACTATCTCAATTATTTAATTTCTTAAACAAAATTTAGTTGCTTTGTAATGACGGCTCCTGGAGAAGAGACTTAATTTTACACTTTTAGAATTATTTATGATCGTATTAAGATGTATGTGGACATTCAAGGCAACAAATGCTGTGAATGTGTCTGCTGCCGTTTGTTGCTAAATTCCTATAATGAACAACGAGGTCTGCTTATTAAATTATACAAACAATGTATGTTCATTTGGGAATAATTTATGTCCCCGCACAAACGAAACGAATTATGAAGTACAAACAGTTATAAATTAAACACTTACAGTATTCAATATTTGCGTAAAGTATATGTAAATATTTTTTGCGGGAAGCTCAATATAAACAAAATTAAATGAGAGAAAATATTGCTGCATAACGAATGATGATATGATTATAATAAATTCGATAATTAAACAGAAAATTAATTATATTACATAATATTTTGTATAAATATATTATATTGTTATGACTTATATAAGACAATTCATTGTTTAGTATTTTTCGTTATTCATTGTTTAGAATTCATTGTTTATCCATGAGAGATCTTTTTTTCAATAGGCATTTCGAATAAAATGTCAATAATTGTGTGCTATTCCCTTTCTATTTTTCAGAAAATACGGTCTAAAAGTCCTGCAAGATAAACATGATACAATTCATATATTTCTATTGTTATGTAGGTAGTACACGTAGAAAAAATTTGTTCAAAATGTATTGCGAGAATTACATTTCTTATTACTATGTCAATTACACGATTCGTCAGTCGCCTTCTGTCACCCAAATTTGGCATTATCTGAAACATAACTGAGACTGTCTTTGAAACCTAACTGACATCATACTCGATTAGTTAATAAAATGTTTTCAAAACAAAGAACTTCACTCAAACCTTCAGCATAGAATTTTTGAAAAACTCGTATTCTTCTTGTTCTAATTCATAATATCTTGTACCAGAACGTCTTTTTGGAAAGTGTGCAACGAGTTTACACTTAGACGGATATAAAATTAATTAGTGCCTTTGTAATATAGATAGCATGTTTATGTCAAGCATTTCAATTTCCATAGGAGAATTACTGCCAATTACACAAAACTAAACTTCAAAGTTGGGCTAACCATATCTTAATGCCATAGACTTATTGCAAGAACCAGGCCGTCATTGAAACACTATTAGTGGTGCTACAACTGTACAAAGTTTCTCATACTATTTGTAACTTTTTCAATTTTTTAAAATTCAGATAATTCAACGAAGATTACACCTGTGTCTTTTTTAGTGTCTTTACTCTATGCGAGAAAATAATTAAAGACAACATTTTAAAAAATATAAATTATCTTGTAAAATAAAAAAAAACATTTTGGCAATGTTTGATGCCATGGAGATTGCTGACTTAAGAAAAATAACTAAAATCAACAGTCAGAAAGGAATTGAATGTTCTTAAGTAAGAACGTAAAGTTGGGCAAAGCGTTTTAGGGGCAGAGGTGAAATATAACGCTTTAGCAGAGTTGTGTAATTGAGTGGAGCATTTGAAGTAAAAGAATGTCGTATTGGCGAAGTAGTAATTGATAGCAGTACAGTGAAAAATTAAATAGATTTAAATATGTGGGAGAGTCATCACACATATAGCAACTGAATATACTTCTTTATATTTCAAAACAGTGACGTGTCTGTATGGCATTGGACTTTAATGAAGGAGTTATGTTGTTTTGAAACGTGAAGAAATGATCATAGGTATTGTTACTTAAAATTGTGAATTTTGATGTTTTGTTATCATTTCCGACTAAAACAATATTGTGTAAGTTAATTTTTAATATAAATATATATTATTTTCTATTTTGAATTTGAAATAGTTTTAATTTAATGATATTTTCAGAAAGCTGCTTAATTTAGATATATGCTTATACTGCAGAATCATCAGTCCTGAATAAGTATTGAATGAATATTTTCACTTATCCCATTAAGTAAATTCATTATATTTTAATTAATAGAAAAGTAAAACCATCTCACTACTTAAGTCTCATAACATGAGTAATGCTTCTAAAGCTTTACGAGCTTGTAATATGCACATCTGCAAAACGTCCCTGCGTGAATCTTAATTCTCGAGCCCCCTATCCGACATTGCCATGTCTTTCGTTGATTAATTCCACGTGAAATCCAAAGCAACTCCTTACACATCGGGTTATGTACTGTACGCAATCGTTAATTCTTCCTCCCCCATTCTGACTTCAATTTCCTAACTTAGGACCGGCCGATGAGCCCATTTCACACGATTTATGAACGATAGAGTATTAACAAAAGGACCATTTATTTCAAATTATTATATTTTAATAAAAATACCCTCTATGACGTGTCCTAGGAAGCGTTCTAGCATCTCTTGGTGTGACCCCGGGTTGAAATCCCCGACGAGGCAAAAACAGTTGTCGATTTCATTTCAATTCGTCTCGTAGCTGTGTAACGAAGAAAAGCTCGGGTAGGTGGAGGCTGTTACGTTGAAGGGAATACGTAATGTTCGCCTCATGTCTCTCTTAACCTCAAATCATGAAAATTAAACTAGCCCCAGGTGTAGGGGACAGCGTCGCTAGCCGGCAAATTCGGGCAGTCGACCCAAAATACCAAATATATACATATTAGATTTTTAAATAAATGACGTCTGGATACGGAAGGACAGATACCAACAGAGATAGTCGGATGGTGTTGGACAGAGATGGACGGATATCGACAGAAACAAACAGAAAGAAACTCTTCATGAAAAACAATATTTGGGTACTAAGGACCCGCAAAACATGTATCTCTACATAACTCAGTGAGATGTCGGCGACAAACATATTACAACAATAATAGTTAATACTACATACAGCTCAAAAGATTTTCCTAGAGGTGAGTCAGGTCAGGACGGGAACTTATAGAACCACCGTTGTAGTATAGAAGGTGCTGCCCTCAAGTGAAGTATATCGTATTTAAGTATTTTGTCCCGTGGCGATGGTAGGTATAATCAGTCCGATCGGCCACTGTTTGGAACGCCCCTCGGCGCGTCGCGGTACCGCGTGACATTCGCTTGTCGAGGGGCAGCTAACCAACAACTAAGAAGGGTAAAGGTACGTCTGAGAGCGGAGGTTTTCGTGGCCGGAGTCTGTAGCTTTTTGGATGTCCTGGAGACGCCGCGTCCTAGCCACATGTGCCATCGTTTCGGTCGCCGACCTTCCTCAGGGCGAAATGCATTTTTCTCTGAGGAGGGTCGCAGAATGACAGCCGAAGCGTTTTCATCTGTGCCTACGACGCGGCGTGTCCCCGACAGCTCATTAGCTCCAGCAGGTATATCTTCCAAAACACCAATTACCAAAGAAATGGCCAAAATTTTACAAACAAGTTTACACCACCAGCTCAAAAGGTAGAATAAAAGGGGCTACCCTCAAGTAGGGTAGGTGATCTTGAAGTATTTCGATTCGTGGCTGTGGCCGGTATAGTCGGTTCGATCGATCCGATCTCTTCGATCTGGTTCAACGATATCAGACTGTTCGGAACGCGCTCGGTGCGGCGAGGCGCCGTGCGGCAGTCGCTTGTCGAGGGGCATTATCGGTTTTCTCGCGCCTACTAGCGCGAGCGAACGCCAAAGCTGCCAAGCGCCGTGGGGCGGAACGCGGTCCCCAGCATTTACCCGCGCGTTACACCGCCGATCGGGAAGTGCGTGGGCGCGCGGTCGTGTGCGGGGGCGTCACGTGACGCGCGCGCCTACACACCCCTCGCGGCGGGGGATCCCCTTCGCGCGGCTAATGGCGCCCTGTCGCTACCGCGTGAAGTGGCAATGAACGCGGTCGCATACGGCGCTGCTAATGCGGACCAGCAGCGGAGGCGCCTGGAATTAGAACGTGGTAGCCACCCAATTAGCAGAATTGGTGTATTTACCTTTTTCGCTCCTGCTAGCCGTTGGCAAGTCATTGGTGATGAGTAATAAAATATTGTAATGCAAGCAGTATCTTTTAATGCGTTATATATGCTTTTTGCTTTGATCACTTGATTTACAAAATTCTTTGAACTTTTAGACATGTTTAAATTTTGTGAGTGAAGTTATTGTTTTTTATTAATCACTATTGCTTAATATAATAACAATTATCAGAAATCAGCGTCGAAGTTAATCCTTGTTCGAAATCAGTCACCTCGTCATGCTAACAAGTAAACAAAACACGTTTGCCGAGTAAATAGTCATAGAAGAAGTTTTACAGAAGAAGAATACCATATCGTGAAGAATACCATATACCGTGAAGAACATTAAAGAATGAACTTTTTTTTAGTATCCAGTGAAAACCAGAGCCTTGTAGATAAATTCGTTCAAAAGAGAGATGACGATGAGACAAATGAAATCTTAATAAAAATGACTGCCGTTGTGAGCGAAGAGGCGAAGGCAGATACGAGAAGAATTTTTAAGTTAAAAAATTGTATTTCACAATGATTTATATACAATTTTATTCAGAAAGATCTACCTCTTTAGAAAACGTTAAAATCAGAAAAATATGAAAAATTCAGATTTTTGCTTATTTCAGTCAAAACGCTCTTAACTCCTCAGAAAATACTAAAACCCAAAAAGTGCGCAAAATTCAGTTTTTGCTTTAAATGAACTGGCTGGCGCAAGGCAGGGGTTGCCGTAGCGCCCCTGCCAGTTAGGAGAGGGCAGCGTGAGAGTAGCAGGCTGGTCCTGTTGCAGCTGGCGTGCCACGCGGTGCTGCTGCTGTGCTGCAACGCGGCGGGAGCCTTCACGCACTTCCCGTCGGAGCGCGCGCGCCGGCAGGCCTTCCTCGAGACGCGCCAGTGCGTGGAGGCGCGCCTCAACACGCAGCGCGAGAACCAGCGGCAGGTAAGCGCCGACTAATGCGAATCCATCCCTCCCATGCATCCTTTTTATTTATCAATTGTATCACTAAAGGACCTCAATCTTTTTGTAAGTTGGCACCTTTGTTAAAAGAGAGCTTGCTCATACTTACTAGTTTCGACATCACTAGTTGCGCCGTTGCACCACCAGAAGGCAACCTTGACGCAACTGGGATACAGGTGCGATACACAATCCTTCCTTCTCTAGGATTACAAGTACTGAGAGAGGTGGCTCAGGCATGATAGTGCCTCTGACAGGGAGGTCCTAGGTTTGAGTCCCGATGAGGGTAGGATTTTCGATACTAGCTTGTAAGCTATGTCGAATTCAGTCGCTGTCTGGAGAATTCTAGCGGCCAGCAGCTCTGATCGGTAGTTTTACATAGTTGCTGCTATTGCCGTAGTTACCAGGTGAATACCGGAGCAGTACCGTAATAAACGAGCCACGGACCACGCGCGATCATACATGCCCTTTCCTTGCCTTATCCTTACTTACACACACTGAAATACTGCCACACATGCCGGGAGAGCGATCGGGAGCTTAGTTGGTCTCGGATGGGGCGGTGCCCCGCTGGTGGGAGATACCTGGTTGGGAGATAGTAGGTCTCCGATGGATCTCACCATCCTGCGCGGGAAACTCCGACCCCCTCTCAAGGAAAAAACTCACTACACTAGCGGGAGTTTCGTAACAACCTTATCATTTGACGCGCCTAGAATCACTAACGACACTAAGAAACACGATTCTTACATCCAGGAACGTAGAGTGTGCAACGTACTCAATTTTATGTTTATTACGAATATCACAATAAAAATATCATATCATGTCACAGTTTTTAAATATACCGTATCGTTATGCCGTATCGTGCCGTTTTTGGCTATATTATTGCAAATACATTTAAATTGAACCAGATGAGTAGATGAGTAGAATCAATATGCATGAATTCTATTTAAAAATGAAATATTTGTTCAGTTCATCTATGCCACTTTCAAGAAGAATCAACACAATTAGGCTTTTGGGTTTTTTACCTTCTGTATTCGAAACTTCCGATTTTATTCTCGCGTCTAGTAGTCGCGCTCAATCACGAGTAGATCTTAGTGAATGATTTGAAAACAAGTCACATGCACCCTCACATTCCCTACTGCACATCAGTCACTGAAAGTTATTATTTCATACCCTTACCCTATCACAAGCATACAAGTACCCGCCTGTTGAGACAGAAGATTCTGAGTCAGTCGGTGCCATGCGGAACAGTACCCGCAGTGCGTGTGAAGCTCATGTCTAGTTTGAGTGTGCTTCAAATACTCGTACATTACTACATATCAGTTCTGTATATTTTATAAAATGAAATTCGCTACACCATCTCTTGAATTTTCACGTCATTTCACGTCGAAAGTGTGCAAATCAATCCGATAACTTCTGTTTGTGGAAATTTACATCCAAACTTAGACATTAGGGGGTGTTTTCTATAACCCGTATGAATGGCAAATTGTTTATAGATTCTTCAAAATATAGTTTCAAAGAAGTTAAATAATTTCCCGGATGACTAATGCAAAATTCAAGGAAGAAATTTTCATCGGCTTACAAATTATAAAACTCACATTGGATGAAATATCGGAAGAAAAATTGCGAGACATTGAGTTAGCAGCTTGGCAATCCATTGAGCGAGTTGAGCACACATTTTTTCGGGAGAAAGAAAGAAGACAATTATAAAACGTTTATAACAGAATATATAGAAAGCTACTAGAGGTGTGGAATACCTCTTAAAATTCATTTTCTTAATATTTGCGACAGAATTTGGATGATATTAGTTATGAACATGCTGAAAAGTTGCATCACAATATTGCTACTGTGGAAAAGAGATACCTAGGGCGTAAGGAACCAGCAATAATGGGTGATTATGGCTGGTTTCTTATCAGAGACAACTAGGAATTTCTCCTTCCAAGTTGTTTCAATATTATTGCACATGCGTATTTCATTTTTAATATATTCTTACCTCATATGAAGCATGCTCGTAAAATGTTGTTTTAATATAACCAGAGTGACAATGCAAAAATTTGTACGGGATATGATGTATTTCCAATAATAAATATGTTCGTATCTTTTGAACCCTACGTGATAGAAACTTTTTATATGTTTTTTTCAATCAGTGTGATCGATCCCTTTCCAAAAATCTCTAGTGCAAATAATGACAATTACAAGTGCCCTGTCTTCCACCGGGACGACCTTCCGTCGCCACCCCTAGAACTTGCACTTGAAGTCTGAGAACGAGATTCTTCGAGAAGTCTTCGAGATACGACCTGTAAAAATTAGCACATTTCAAAGCTGCTCTTTTGTGCGTTCAGTTCAAAAAACGCCACAAAAAATTAGTCAACTGAAGGGTTTTAATGTGAACTAGTTTTATTTTAAAACGTTAGCAAGCGAAAACTCGCCCTTGAATGACACATTATAATCCTCGGATAAAGTTTTTATTAGCGTCTCACGAATAGAATTTTTTTAAATTCGAAATTGTTCATAATGTCCCTTTTATAATAGACAGTAACATGACACCCAAGGTAACTACCGTTTCCGATAATGAATTAAGACCTTCACATGCAACACAATTTTATTTTCATCGCCTGTTTTAATTCGAAAGGAATGGCACTCTCGAAAACAAATTTT